TTTTGTGGCTCTAAATGGCGAATTTGAGCGATTTGGTGGGTTTTGCGTCGACTGTTACTGTACGTTATAAGAAGAAGACAAGAGTGGAAAGCTCATTTTCGACCGCTCTAGCGCGAAGCCGATTTTCACCCAGAAATAAGAATCGCCCGGCTTCCAAATCGAAAACCAGATAAACTGAAAAGTTGACACTTCTCGTCGCATTCAATCGGAGATCCATTCAAAATCCAAGCGCTAACCGCCAAAAAAATTTCGAGAACTGCAGCTTTCGAAGCGATCAGCATCATAGGTGGCCCAAACTCTATCACAGGCTCTTTCACAGTGAATAAATAAAGAGTTTGTATTGCGGTTTAGTTGGACTTGCTTTTGAGCTCCGTAAATGTAAAGTTGTGTGAAATAATCAAAGAAATAAAGTCTTACCTTCGTAGAGAGTAGTCTGTGTTGTTCTCCTCGCGATTTGAGGCCGTCTTGATGTGTTTTAGCTTGACGCCCTAAATTACCGTGCTTAAAATACGGTATTTTTATTGGTTCTTGCTTACGATCTATGGGAGAACAGACGCATAGTTGATGTCACCATCAACAACATTTTGCCCCTTTGTTTCACGAAACAAATACTGTTCGTCCGTTCATCAGTACATCACAGAAGTCGCCAAAATGTGGTAAAACAGTTATAGGATAATCATAAACAAGATGTAGTTATGCCAGCTTATCAACGATGTTCAAAAATCTGGTTAAAGAACAGTGTATTTAGCCTCTTTTGCAGTCTTTCTCTGGAATATCACGCCACGCTCGCCCTCTCCTCCACCTCTCCCACAGAACAGAAGAGGCTTCATTTGGAAATAGCATTTCGGACACCAAAAAGAACGGCTGTAGATGAGATTTTTAATGTCATAATCTAAGTTACAACTTGTGGATCTGTTCTTCCCTCCCCCCCCCCACCCCCCCTCAAAAGGAGGTGTAGGATAGATGCGATCAGATCTTCTTTCCGTCAGTGATTAAGATGCATATGAGCCGCATCCAATGAGCGGCTGCTGACACACCACCTTCCCACGGGAGGGCGTGGTACTTAAGAACATCCGGAATCCATTCAATACTTTATCATCCAATTTAACTTTGGCGTTCAGTTTGGCTTTTTTCATAGCCCAGAATTTGGATTGATCTTGAAAACTAAGCGAAGAAATGATTTTGGGATTGGAGAGACATGGGGCTTTTGGTTAAAAGTCTCCTCCAAAAGTAGGTATAGTTAAGATCGAAACTTCCATCTAAATAATTATAAGAAATCTACTTTTTGATCTACAAGATCGACCGAGGCGTATGCTCATGCATAGTTGCGTACTTTTAAACCACATATTTTCTATCTATCATCAGTCCACATAAGATGTGCCTGAGGTGCAAAGCCTCGCTCATTCTTGGCGTATGAAAGAACATCAACTGGGTCAAAAGTTATATAAGAAAAAGATATCCCCACGTATGACCGGAAATATTCTTAATTCCCTGGGTCTCCTTGCTCAGCAAATCTATGAGCAGACGGAAGAAAACTTCGAGGTGTCGTCTTTATGAAGAAGGCGCGCGTGCTGCGTGGGCGGAGATGTCACGTGATCCATTAAAGCCTGCTGACAGTAGTTACACTTTGCGCTGAAACGCATTCGCTTTTTGCGTCAGTGGAGTCCGTGTCAGTGCAGCACAAGAAGAAATACACACAGTTATGGCGATCTTCACCACTTCGTTGATTTTGTTGTGTTTCCTTGGCTCATCTGTGGCGGTTGAAGGTGAGGGGAGAATAACCCTTTTGTCAGTCGAGAGCTTTGTAAAAGTCAACATTTGATGACTGCTTTGTCTGGTCTCGATCCTCATTAGATTGATCTCCTTGTGATAATTTTAAACCTTGTACGTGGTGATGGTGTTTGTGGTGAAGTCACTGTTTTTGAACCCCAAACAAAGCTCCGTTGGGCACTATTCACTGGAAAATTCAACACTGTTTATCGATTTCGCAATTTGTTCAAGTTATTCGTTTACACTCGACTGACGTTATGTCTCATCAGAACTGATCTCTCACTGCAGTCGATCTCAACTTTTTTGGAATGGTTTTCAGAAAGACGCCGAAGTATTTTATCAAAGAACGAGAGTAGAATTTTAAAGGTTGTAGAACTCGCCGTTGAAAATTTAAGAGACATTTTTATTTTGGCTGGTGTGAAAATTTCGTCTCTACCACAGAATAACTCTGTCTTGTGTAACTGGGAAGTGATGACAGTTGGGTCAATCAAAGTTATTATTTAACAGTGATTTAATTGGCGATTTCCCGTGGTGCGGCTCCTTATCCTGATATTAGGTTATTGTAAACCGATCTTGACAGCTTGATTCTTTAGGAAGAGGTGCTTATAAAATACATGGGCGCTTTCACGTTTTAAAGATAAGAACAATTGCAGAAGTTTGAATCCACGCGCATAAAAAAAGACCAGGAGCCCATGGATCTTGAGCACATCAAGTAATGGGCTCCTGACAAGACAATTAACGGACTATAAAAAAAGTGGAGGGGTTAAGGGTTTTGAATGATGATAGTGTTTGTTTTTGTATATCCAAGGGTGAAATCTGTTTTTTTGTTTTTTCGTTTTTAGGGCAGCCTTTATTTTCTACTGATGCATGTGAACCTTTCATACTGAACGGCGTTTTCTTCTGCGTGCACTTTCGTTTCACCCTTCTCTCCATCCCTTTTTAATGGTCCAACCCTAATAGGGAGTTACTCAGGAAGTGCCTCTTCATTTCACAAACAAGAATCATGAAAGTGAGAATTTTTTTCGACGAAAAAAGATAACTGATGCTGTCATGAATTTGTTTATGGAAATTAATGGTAGAATTCATGTATAGCCCTGAGATTTTTAACAAGTGATGACTTCATCGAAGTGTCACATTCAATTATTTTTTCATTCTAATCATTACAGCAGAAAAGTGTGGCGCTGTCCTCAACAATGAAACTGGAGTTATAACTTCACCAAATTACCCAAACAACTACCCAAATGGAGTCACTTGTAGATGGAAGATCTCTCCTCAAAAGTCCCATGTGAATATCACTATTGAGGACTTCCTAGTAAGTAAATAATCTAACGCTTTTCGACATTTACTGCACGAAAGCAAAATGCGCGCAAATATCGCTCGAGTCAAACACCTTTCCGCGCATCAGTGTTGCCTCTTTATATCTTAAGCGCCTTAGACAAAAGTAAAATGGTGGTGTTACCTTCACTCTAGTTCCCTTGGCATGTACTGGCTAAGGGCTGTAATAGCACACATGTAGCTATCCCGACCTCCATCCCCACCAAATTTTTTCACTTGCCTTGCAGGTCAATGCAGCCCGCTTCTCCGTGAGAGAGTCTCTTAACGGTTTTCTTTTTTTCCATTAAGCTTGAAGGATCTTCAACTTGTGAAGCATTCGACTTCGTTGAAATCAAAGTTAAAAAAGGCACCTATAACAACGAGAGAATTGCTGTTTGCGGGTCACTGACTCCTCGTGTATTGAGCATCAAACTTGACGGTGAATCAGTAGAAATAACGTTCAAAACCGATGTAAATGTGAACGCAAGAGGATTTAAAATCAGTTACCGAAGCTTTGGTAAGATTCAGCGACCCTATTTGTGTTCAACTACTGACTCCTACCCCGTAAGGATTTTTTTATAAAACATCGCAAATTCATAGTAGCAGTTGATGTTCACATCAGTTATGATGGCGGGAAATGTGACAAGAAATTGTTCGATAGGTTTTAAAGATAGTGTGACCGAGGGAAAGGGTTGGGCTGTTGCATCCACCCGTCCTCTTACCAAAGTGGGCGTGTCAGTTGGCTTGAACATCAAAGGTGTAAGTACACAAATTAGTTGTCAAGCAGTTAAGCCAAGATTGACACGTTTCCTTTCAGACGTCGACCCTTGTGTGAACAAGAATGGAGGATGCTCGCACACTTGCAACTTGGTTAAAGGAAAGCGTGAATGCTCGTGTCCTGACGGTTACAAACTTGGGTATGACTCGCAGACGTGCAAAGGTTTGTAGTTAATCAAAATTTGTCTTTTAAAATATGTTTAAAAGAAGCTTAAGCTAGAAAATGTGAAAAAAGAATCAGAAATACGCGGAAACGCTCATCTAGTCCTCGTGAAGCTATAACAAAGACAATACAGGGGGTTGAAAAGCGTTTCTGGAGATTCGAATGTGTTTTGTCCCCAGGTTATATAAAGATCCACACCCATTTCTAACTCGTATTGATTTCACAGGCGTCAACAATTGTTACTTTGTGGGACGAAGAAGGTGTCCTTACAGTAGTAAGTCAACTTGCAAGGACCTCGGATTCGGCAATACCACCTGTGTCTGTTGGAACGGTTACAAGAAAGACTTTGTGGATGGCGTATGCCGTGGTATGTATTCACTGAGTCTTGGTTAGAGGAGTCATTGATGATTGGGTTCTCTCAAATATTTAAATATATAAATATAGCTTGCACACCTTTGAAAGATATCCAGATTGCTGTGGGTACTTTCATTTTCTCTTCGTATGAAAATGGCAACTTCGCCATTATTAGCACCAAATTCAAATTCGAAAACAAGGTTAAACGTTAAGAGAAATTTGAAGGCTTGACTTCCCAAGGGTAAGTAAAACTGAAAAACCTTAGCTGTAAGATTGAGCTCCACGCATACTAAGAATAAACAAGTTAATATGAGATAACCATTGATTACAATAAGGCGTACGATGACACATCAAATAAAGCTTATTTTTATGAATCTACACGCCATTTGGACAGGTAAACTCCAAAATATCATGTGCAAAGAATAACTATTATTTTCTTTTTTCATCAAGACATTAACGAGTGCAATGAAGATCCTAACCGGTGTGGTGTTGGGGTTTGTAATAACCGAATAGGTTACTATTACTGTACCTGTCCCAAAGGATACCGAACAGGATACAAAGACGGCAAACAGACATGCCAGGGTAGGGACGTTCATTCCATACATTTCGAAATTGGCCTCTTTTTTTTAACAATTATTTTCCTATCGAACCTTACAAATCTATGTAACTAAACGTTTAGAAATAAAAATACAACTTCCAGTTCGACACTCGCATTAAACTTTGATATACGTTGGTTAGACATAGCAACTAACCACTCCATATTTCAAGCTTACAAAACTGAGTCTTTTGATCCATCGTCCATCGTATTTAGCTTCAGAAGTAAGAAATTAGAGAGTTAGGAAGCGACAACGTTCTGCGGGAAATCCACATCCACTCAACTTGCGGGCTCAAAGCAGTCCTTTTAATGATAAATGGGACCCAGTAAACTTTCACGTTTAACAAACAACTTTTACTTTGACAAGCCTTGTTTCTTTTTTCTCTGAATCAGATAAAGACGAATGCAGTAGTTACAGACCCCCCTACTGTGGAGAGGCCAGATGTGTTAACACTCCCGGAAGCTATGTTTGTCAGTGCAAACCTGGATATAAGTTCAACGAAACATCGAAAACCTGTGAAGGTTGGTTAATATGGCTGGCTCCTGAGTTGGTAAAGTGAAGGAAATAATGTGCACTAAATGGCCAACAGAGCATCTTACACGTTCGAGACGACCCGCTTTGGTCCCACAAAAGTAAAATCTATCGAATATTGAATCTTCTGGCCCTTCACTTGAGTCTACATGAGCTCTGCCTTCTTTGTCACGATGGATGGATATTAGTTTCCGTTGAAGTGATTCATTTAGATCATCATCATAGTAATTCAAAAACTAGTTGTTTTGTTTTGTTTTTTTTTTTTCACGTTTTCATGGATTTCACATTCGACTCGATCCAAAAAAAAAAAAAAAACGCAAAAAAACCCTTAGGCAACATGAAGCGAACTGGCCCCCACGCACAATCAATAACACATACATATCTGACTCACCAGATGACGATGAATGCGCCGCGAGCTCCAGTGGATGTGATCAGGTTTGCTCTAACACAAACGGTTCCTTCAGTTGCAGCTGTCATCCGGGATTTTTCCTGGATAGCAATGGCAAAACCTGCCGGGGTAGGTTGAATTTTTCCCTGGTATGCAAATATTATCATCACCGTTATAAGACAACAATAGCAATGAGAATTTTTCCAAGATGGGAAGAACGGAACGCATGCTGAAAAGCAATGTTAAAGTCTCTACTTTTCCTGAGGAGTTTTCCAGTGATTCCGCTCAAAAACTTTCCGTTTTCAAAGTGAAAGGGCGGGTTCAAGCTGGAAATGCTAAGGAATGAAAAAACTCATTCGTTGGTATGGCGGCCTGCTTAGTGCGCACCACTGTTATTTTGAAATCTGAGGTAAAGTTCGGTTGTCTGAAACATGTTTACTAATATGCGCGCCTGCGTAAACTTTGCTACTTGTTCGACCAGATTTTGTTCATTTTCAGACGTAAAAATTGAAGGTCTTGGACTCGTTAACAAAGACAAGGCCTGCCACGGAGAATCCCTGAGAATGTCCTGCAAAGATCCTTTGGACTCGCTCATAATTTACGAAGCAAAGTTTGGTGATACTGGAGATCTAACAATTTGTCCCTACAAACATTTCATCGCTCAAGTCGATAGCAAGGGCCCTGACACTTTGCCTTGTTATGAAAACGTGACCAAGAAGATCGAGAGTTTGTGTGGCTGGAGAAGTACGTGTGAAGTCAAAGCCGAGTCTGCCCTTAGCCGTCTTTGCCGTGGACCCAACAACCACTTATCTGTTATGTATTCGTGCGGTGAGACCTTTGACTCCTGAATCATTAGTCATTAAAACGAATAATCGATGTTTAGCGCCACTAAACGGTGCAATTACTTGTTGGTTTGATGCAGTTGTTTTTTTCGTTTATATGAATATACGACCCGGCAACAAAAAAATACACGAGTACTTGACGTTTAACTCCTATAAAAGTAAGTAGCGCGAAAATGATCATACGCTCGAGATTTCTTCAAGTCTGCGTTTTGCCCTCCTTTTAATTGTCGTTAGCAATTTCCCTTGACTAACCAGGCCCCATCAAATTGTACGGCTTTCAGGGCTTTTCATTACTCTATGAACCTTGGTGTACAAACAGCTTTTTTTTTCTTGGTGGATAGCGCAACATTACACTGGACGGTGACCTCTGTAGCTGTACTGTCAACGGATGAGTACGTGTAAACCTAATAAAAACATTCAGCCTCCCCTAAAAGCCAGGAGTCAGTTAGAAAAGGCCGAGAGTCAGCTATAGTTAACTCTCCTTCATTTACCCGAAGTTCCCACTTGGTGCAGGGCAGTTGTACTCGTAAAATAAAATGTTATGTCTCAGCTTGATAAATTATCATGTTTTCTTAAGTAAGGGGCTCTGCTTGCGCGCTTTTTGCGCAAGACTTAGACGACTCAATCGCATTTTTTACATCATTATGTATGTTAATCACTGTTTTCTGTAGGCAAACCTCTGAAGTGTCCAGCTCTGCCCAAACCAGACAAGTGTGTTGCTCCTGTAAACAACGAGTGCAAGTCAGACAAGGATTGCCCCCCGGCTAAAATGTGCTGCTTCGACGGATGTCAGGATGTGTGCTCTAAACCTGTCATGTACACAAGTAAGTGCTGTTAAAACCATGACTATTTACTAGGGGGTTTCTTCTCATGAGCTATGAGTTAAACATTTCACAGCAGGTGATGGACACTGCCCCATTTCTTGGTGTAAATAGAGTTCAAGAGCATTCAATGCAATTTTGCTTTTTTTCCATTAGCCAAGAGCAAACCACTTCTACATACCAGTAACTTCTATACCTATGAATAATGATCCTCTCATACATGATACTGTCTTACTATTTTTTACCTTGAATAATATTATGTTCATGAAAGTGCAACAAGACTGAGTTTAAAATTTGACCCAAGGTCGGAGAGTATCAAGCTTTTTTACCCAATTTACTCATTTAAAGAATGCTTGCATAATAGCCTCTATTCTCATGAATTATTTTTTTGTTTTTCTTTACTAATTGCCCACAGGTGGTTCCTAAGGCAACAGGTGTCTTGAGAAACAGACTGCTTGAGATGGATTGGACAATTGGCACAAAACTAAACAAAACTGATCAAGACAATGACAGTAAATTGGGATAGTTAAATGAGAGCTTTTTCTGTTGTTTAGTGATAGAAAACATGTTTGTATTCCTATGGTAAACAATAACTGACTATTAAAACTTACTGTACACAGATTAAAAGTTATCAGGTTGAGTTTTTAAACCTAAAACAATGACATTTTCATTATTGAAATTTGAAAATTATAAAACATGCATCCCTTCAAAGCATTTTTCCATTCAAAGCAATTTGCATTTTTTTCCTATGCACAATTCCAAATCCACTGTGGTTCTACCCTACAATAATGGTGTCTCAAAGGTTCTTTGCCATTTCCTGCAAAAACAAGGCGCGTGCACCCTCTTTGAATCTGACACAACACTTGGGTCAGATCCCATTGCCCTAGCAAAATGGGGTGGCACTGTTGACCAAATCCTGTGTGAATGATGTGGTACAGTGTAAATCTGAGAAACAGGCTTAGTTTTTGGACTTATATGGTGATTTATAGTGTTTTATCCATAACACATATGCTCACCCCACATACAACAAGCATCATTCCAAGGAATGTTCCTGCAAATAAAACGCCATTGTTAAGAACTTGATCCAAAGCATGGCATGAAGAAGTAAGATTTTGCACCCTCAAACTCTTGCATTCATCCAAATACAAAAAGTTTTTAAAGTAGACTGGATGGCACAGCTGCTAACTAGAGGCTTATCCCAATTTCTGTATTATCAAGTAACTTGGACCATATTGTAGGTACCAGTCTCTTGCCAGTTTTCTTTTAACCCATTCCTGTTCCTATTCTTATCCATGACTTTAAACTAGAGACTTGGGGTCTGGGAACCAAGCCACCAGGCCACCTATTCTCCCATAAAAGTAACTGTGGAGTCACCAGGGAGTGGTGATCACCTGTCACACAAGCTATTTATTATTACTATTTTTTTCAACTGAGCATGTCTTAACTGAGTCTTTCAAGAGACTTCTTTATCATAAATACCTGCATTAATATTGTCTTCACCTAAAAGCCTCCCAGTCAATGTGGTGATGATCATAGTCAAAGAGTTAGTAACTGGCACAGCAACAGACAAATCTAGAACATGAATGACATCAATGGACAAAAAATATTAATGATTGTCTTATGGTTCTTGAGATAAGGACATATTAAGGTTGAAAGTCATCAAAACTTGTTGTTGATCACTGACCTGCAGATGCAAGTGTCAGGTAATAAACCACTGATCCACTCTGGTTTAACAAAAAGGGAATCAAATACTGTGGGAAAAAAAATTCCATCAGGCATCATGCATTGATCAATAAGCCTGACATAGCTATAACTTATTTCCTATATTAAGCACTCAGGCACTTATTTAAAATTTAGCACTTAATGCACTCATTAAAGCGGGCAAGCAAGAACTACTGGTAGTCTGGAAAGCATTGATTGGTAAGTAGGTGGTGCCTGTGATCAATTAGACTTGCACATATATATAGATATACAATATACTGAAAAAACTTTGACTTAAAGGTGTTTGTAATGAACAGCAAGACTGCACAGCTCGCTGGGTACACATTATACTTAATAACCACGATTAGTACATGGTGAATGATGGAAGGTATCTACACTTTCCTGGAAGAAAAGGATTATCATAACTAAGGTTTTTCACGAATAGTGAGAAAAGTGAATCACTAGATTAAGTACCTGCACCAACATTTCCCATAAGGCTGTGGGGCCTTGATGCTTTCAGGTGTTTTTTCAACTTGGTGTATACGTTTTGTTGGAAGGGTATAGGGCTTGGCATTTCTAAAGGATACACTGTACCTCCTGGCCCTGCTGTACTGTCTGGGTATGTATGGAAACAATGTATTTATTAATACATCCTTTCCCAGGTCATTGTAATGAAATAGCACAATTCGATTGTGAAAAACGTTGGTCTTTCAAACAGCGATACATGTAATGATCAGAAAATGTCCCTCACCTTCCAGTTGGATAGAAGAAAGAGCACTTCTGCAAAAAACTGCCCAATGCGACTTGGTCTGTGAATATCCTCTATCCCTTTACTTCCTTTTCTTATAAGAGGATTTGTGGAGCCCCATAACAGTGACACAATGTACAACCAGAATGCATTTGCTACAAGATCAGGCAGAGTAATAAAAACATTATTACATAAGGCAAGAGAAACCTAAGTTATTCAATTTGGACCAACGTTTATCCTTGAATTTCCTTTCACTCCTTAGAATGATCAATATAAAATTTCTCCATAAAATATCAACACATTGTCGAGAAAACATTTGATAAGAATAACGAAAAGTATCGAATCAGGGTGACGGTTCAATTGAAGACAAGGAAACACCTAAACTTTATTATTATTACCCATTCACTAAAATTCTATTCCTACAATATAGTATAAGCTCAATTAAAATAAAATCTGTCATAGGCCTCATTTCACATAATTATTTCATTCTAATGATTACAATCTAATTGATTACGTTCTGTTACTTCCTAATCCTATCCTTAACTATTTCCAACTTCAACCCAGCTCAAGAGAAATATCATTGAAAATCAGTTCTTTGAAAATAAGAAAATAAAAAAACATCCATCTTACATATAAAAAGATCTAAAAGTATTCTTAAAAAAGACAAAAACTATTCTCTAAATCCTGCTTGTTCTCTTTCAATCTCAAAGTCACAGTGCTCAATGTTCAGAGGGACATGCCTAGTGGCGCATGAACCTCTTAGGCAAAGTAAGGCGGACCTAAGTAGAGCAAAGGACACTTTTGAACATATCCATGAAATTGTTGTGCTATACTCCTCTCCTCTCTTAATAGATATGAGTTCTGCCAGTGGAAACGCTTGCATTCATCTGCCATGCCTCTGGTAGTAGTGAAGACTAAAAGTGTAAAAGTCCCTCATTCAACTTCCAAAACCCTGTTTGCGTATAACCTCTTCTTCTTATCTTCATGTTTGCGATAAATCTGCTGGATGGTGAGATCTTTGTAAGACTGCATTTGGGTGAAAAACCCTCACATCAAAAAAGGCAAAGCCTTGCCCATACCAGAACCCAAGAGAGTGAACATCCAGTCAGGCATCCGGTGCTAAGTTCGTACCCCTCGTCAGCACTTCTCCCATTATCTCCTGGAGTATGGGTTCCACTTGCCCATCGTGGCAAACAATGTTTAGCACATCAGCCTCAAGATCATGCAGCTCGTTATGCCTCTGGATGATGAATCCTCCTTGTTTACACACCATGGCATAATCCACCGTAAAAGTATCTTCACAAATACAAGTGGAGGGCGTGTCAGCTATGTGCCAGTCATAGCGGAGATGAACAGCATCCCTGAACTCTCTCTTGTTTAAAGTAAAGTTCATATCCTTTAATGGGATAACTGTTAGCCAGCTAGACGCATCTTTTTCTGTAGCAAGGATAGCGTCTCTCCTGGTGTTATCAGGGAGTACACTCTTTACTTCCTCTAGCCTTTCTCTAAGATGTTTTCATTCTCCCTTTGGTTGTACTGCTGCATTTTCCATATGTCATCATCATCTGGGAGCTCGAGTGCCTGAGCCTCTATCTGCTTTACCACAGGCTGTGTTACCCTGATTGAGGCCCCATACTCCTTAGTCACATTTCGGCATGGGTTTGTGAGACCCAGTCCCCCTAGCCTCACCAGAAGTGCTAGCAATTCAAGCTCAGGGGGTGTACAAGTGTGCCCTGTCATGGTGGGTATGAGGACATTGCCTATTGCATGCTCCAGAGGCTCTAGCAGTTCTATGATGTCAGATAATAAGTCCAGCGTTGTTTCAATCCAGTAGTGAAGGCTGCATATGAGGCTTGAGGATTAGCTGCAGCGAATTCTGAGCTTCACCACTTGCTCAACCCAGTCCTCTACCTACCCTTTCACATACTCCTCTAGGTAAGTTCTAGAGCCTAGCACGGCGCCCAGATGTTTTTGGCTTTGAGTCGATATTTTTATTGCCTTGTCACCGAATACTTCCATCGCTTCATTCTCCTTTTCTGGTTTGGTGACCAACCAGCATTTCTTAGCATTGGGGTAGTACCCCAGGCTAGGTCCCATTTCATTTAGCCCGTCACACCACTCCCTTAGCTCCTCTAGCCAAACAGCGCCTGTTGCATTATCAGCGTACCAGCATTGCTTTGCATTGCTGGATAAATTGAGATGGGTGATTAAAGGCTGAAGTCTTTTGGCATAGAAGCTCATTGCTAAGGGGTCACCCTGTGTAGTGCCCTCTGTAGATTTCAGTTCTTTACTGCCCGTGACAAAGAGGTGTGCAGGTGCCCTATAGGTGTTGGTGGCATATGTGGCTAAAGTAGGATAAAGAACAGCAACATTATGCAAGGCAGAAGCCCTGTTCAATGAATTAAAAGCGTTCGAGGCATCACTTAGTTACACGGCATCTGCATCATCAGCATCAAATATACCTTGCATGGCATGAATGGCTCCCTCAGCTCCACTCTTCAGATGCGCGCACAATTGTAATGAGCGGCTGGCCTTAATAATATCCTGCTTTGTCAACCTTGTTACACACTTGGCGATTATTCTCCTCACCACCTCTCCGACTCTAATCGGTTGCACCTCGCCATCGCCCTTGTTGAGTGGAATTAATCGATTTCCCAAAATTGGTTCAATTACCACAGGGTCAACAAGCTCTGTACAAAGTCTTTTAGCAAGCATGGCTATGGCGTCACAAAGACTTGCACTAGACTTCTTATAGGAGTTGCTAGCGAGCATTCTTCTAAAACCATTTGCATCGATCCCCAAGGACAGCCAGAACCTTTTGTCTTGAGTGCCGCTTCTTTTATTATTTCTCCATTTATTTGGTGATAGATAACATGAGGGATATCTTCAGTTGGGCCAAAGACCAGGGATCCTAGCTGGGCTTTCTGTCCACTCAGATGTTTATCCTGAAGTTGGATCATTACATCATCAGTAGGTAAAAGAACGCCCCCCAGAGTCCTGTTCACTACCGTACCGAAGAGCGGAATTTATCTGACCCCCAATACCAGTTTTGCAAACATCTTAGCTTTATTCAGTGGATCATTTCTTCGAGGCTTTGTGAGGCTCTTTTGTATCATTTGCCCTTCACGTAGGAGTGTGTCTGTCTCTCCCTCTTTCCATAGAGCTAACCTCCTTGACAAGCACTCTTGATGATCTTTCACTTTTGAACCTTGACTAGGTTTTTGCAGCACTAGTGCCAAAAGTACAATGGCGTCTGTTAGAGCTATATGGTGCATTTCCCTAAGGGACTAGAAAGGTGTTCTTCTGCCAGGTAGTCACTTCATTGTACACATTGGCAATAGCTGCTGTATTTAGCCAAATTTCCGCTCCATCACTTTTGTACCCCCAATAAACACTTGATGGATTTGCTCATGGGTTCATAATCGGGTAAATACCCTGGCATCTCAAAATGATCTTGGGGCGGGCTTTTGACACTCGTAGGATCATGATCATTAGCACTTCCGTCCTCTAGGGACCGTGTGGCATACGTATGTAAATCCGAGTTACTGGGCGGCAGTGAAATATTAGAATTTTCGCATTGGTAACCGATAATATTTTGATTTTCACTTTCCCTCTATTCTTGACGAGATTGAATTCGATCGAACACTACATTCTCGGAACACAAGTCATAAGAACTGCAATGACAGACAGTAAGACAAAGTAATATTGACATCCTCGGGATGAAAGGGTAACGACACTTGGTAAAGTGTACGCAATAATTGTAATAGTTCAAGACGAGGGATTGCATCATTTTCTGGACTTGTTTTGGCACAGCACCGCTAGCAATGTAAGTGTTTTGGTCACTGGACTATCTATTTGTTGTCCAGTTCGCGCATTCCTCACACATTAGAATTAGGCGGAATTATACTTACTAACAGCATCATCCATTGCTGATATAAACATCAGCGCATCCGCCATGTTTAACTCAGACGAGGCACTGGATACGAGTATGCCCTAATCCCTCACGGCAGAACGTAATACCCAGGAAAAGGCGGGTAGTTCCCCAACTACGATCAAGGACGACGAAATAAACATGAAAATTTTCAAGCTCCTTCACTATCACTGGCTCAAGTGTTCACATGGAAAAAATTGCTGTATCTTGGTACTCACCCTCTCAAATACGCATATTGAATAGGTTAAAGAGGGCAAGGTCTTGACTCAAAATTCTGCCTACGCAGTTGTGCGGGCAAATGAGAAGGCGCACCAAATGCTTGCACGGAGTTGACGGGAAGGGGATGCCAGCACAGTACCGGCTGTACCCCAGCGCGATACTGGGTATGATCCCGACATGATTTCGGGCGGGATGGGATGGGAACCCCTGCGCAACCCTGTTGTGGTTCCTGGTCAGAGTCGTCAAGAATGGCAAGTAAAGACGAAAATAAGGTTCAGTTTTCTTAACAAGAAAAAAAGTTAGACTTCCTGGACGAAAGAGTGTATCGACGAGAAAATAACAATATCACGACTTCCATATTTTTATTTGTTTAAGAGAGAATGTTGTCAGTGCAAGCTAAAAGGGCGATCACGTGCAATCATGGAAATCTGGGACAAGGCTTCTCCCACTCTCCTCCCGCTTTTTGGAAAAAAGTTGGCTTTTCACCGACCCAAACCTGCTATTAGTACTACAATAAATATTCACGTAAATAATCACCTAGATACATACAGCTAATGCATTAGGATGATATTGATCCGAAAATATTCGGTGTATAGCCAAGCATGTTAAAAATGTTTGGTAAAGAGAATTAAAAAGTTGACAGTGGCCAAAACTGTATTGTTCTACTTGCTGGACGTTTCGCCGGCTACTACTATTGCCTCCTTCAGCAAAGATAAACAATGCAAATGTCTAACAGCGTCCTGCTTAGTGCTTGACATTGATCCCATTTACCCTAAATCCGCTTATGCTCCAAGGAGAGACTGTGACTTGGTTTTTAAGCGAGATGTGAAATTAGAAAGCAATAAATATGCCCTGCTGAAAGTTGATAGGGAAACTGAGATAACACAGCCGTCCGAAGTCTTTAATAACCATTTCAAATAAATTAATCAATGTCGCAAACTTTTACTTAAATGGCTGCTGTACTTTCTTGAAAGATACTCAAGAGATGTTGTTGTTTAGGTCCTTCTAAGTTTAAGTAAGTATTACAAATTAATACTCCCGGTAGTCAGTAGTTACAACTCATATAAAATACTAAAATACTAGAATTGAGGCAGCTATCCTCTTCCACGCCCATTATAACCCATACGTATTTAGCTCTATTGCATACTTCCTAACAAAAATTTGAGCATTTTTTCTCAAAGTAGAATGACTTGTCTGCAACTTCAAGTAGTTCTATCTCCATTTGATTGTTTCTTTGAAAGACCTGTGCAATTTTACACATATTTTCTGACCTAATGCAAACATTTGTGACACTGTCTCTTGAATTCCACAGTGTTACAGATTTTACACAGATTTCATCTTACAGGACGCCGCGCACGAAATTACCAACCAAGAGCGCTAGATTTCACTAAAATAAACAGATATCCTTTTACATATTTACGGGCCTCGATCACCGTGGAGAATGATGAGTGAACTTGTACAATCTGCATTAAATATATCAGTAACGCATAATGCCGGAATTAAATAGCCTCCAAAGATACTCTATCATAACTCTTCAAAAAATTGAATTCTTGCCGTAGACGTTCCTGTTTGAATCTGGAAAACACAAGAAAAAAGAAAGAGGAAAAAGACAAGGATTTTAGAGTAAAACAACAACACAAAGGCAATATAATGATAACTTGCAGAAGAAATCACCCAATGAATTGAAGTTAAAAGGGGGGCTTCAATGGACAGAGTTCTCCTATCGAACCGCATAAAATGATAAAAAGGGCAACCTATTTGAAGTAATTTTATTGTTAACACTCAAACGTGTTTTAAATTCTCTAAGGAACGTGGCCAGTTATACGAGTAAAAATTTAATCAAAAATAACCCATCTGTAGCATAAACCCATATAAACACAAAAAGTAATATTCAGTTACTGATGCAAAAGTAGAGCCATATGAAGGGGTTAGAATTAGCCAGGTTATAAAATGAAGAAATGACTGACTGGACTCCTTTAAGTCCGCACGGTCGCAACATTTCTTCACTGCAGAGCAAAAATCAACTGTTTTAGTTTAGCTTTACCTGGCTGTGATTGGTCCAAAAAACTCACACGACGAACTCAACCAGTCAGGATCAAAACGCAAATCAATGGTGACTTGGTCACTTGTGCTTTCCCGCGCTCAAGTCACTTAGCATTACTTTACTTTGAGTTCTCATTGGCTCCTTGAGATATAGAAATATTTTTCTCTTTTCTGATTGGCCATAGCGGTTTACATAGGTTTTCTTCTTTTTGAAACTCAATCGAAAAGCGCTCAGACGCTGACAATACCTTCTGTAAGGTAGAATATTTATCTTCCCCACGTCTCATGTTTTCATCGTGAATGTAATCCCAGCGTGTTTGTCTGTCATCTATCTTTAGTCCCTGTGAAAGATATGTTTAAAACTCGCAAATAAAATCCCAGATAGTCTACTTGGCATTATCTCAGGTAAGAAACTGTGAGCGAGTTAAGCAGAGGTGTGCCGTTCACACAAGCGGGGAGATTGCGCGTTTTTGCTTTCAGCCTCAGGTGTCCAACTGCGCTGGATTAGCTCACAAAAACTATTCAAAACGTTTACGGACAAACTGTGAAGCCGCAGTAAGACTCGCAAGTACCGTTTTTGACAGCCAAGGTCAGTCAGTCATTTCTATTGACAACAATCTTACTAGAAAGTGTGAATGCAGATTAGGTTATTCAGTTGACTGAATGTAAGTAAAAACCACTCTACCTCCATTTGGGATTTGAGATCTCTTAACTGCTGCTGTATATTTCTGTTTCTGATATAAAAAAGAGGAATTTCACCGTAATGACTATATAATAATTGTTTAAATGCAGCAATTAACAGCTGAATGAATACTGCTTTCGAGAAATATCTTCTCAAACTACTTTTAGTTTTTGATCATTTAAACATTTGTAACTACAGTAATTACGTAAGATTTAAGAATGCAACTCTTAGGACTTGAGTACGAGACGATCACAACATATTCACCAAAAGTTGGGAAATTCTTTCATACCAATCATCGTATATAGCTGTAAAATTATGTACTCCTCATAGTGGTCGTAGCACTGATTCGTCAGAGTTGTGTCTAAGAACGTCTGTGATACACCTTTAAATTCAATATTCGCTAGTACTGGTCTATGAAAAAATACCTCTCATTTGTGGAAATTACAAAATGTACGACTACCTTTCTCTCTCGTAATCTCGTGAAAGCTGAGAAACTTCGCCATCTGTTAACTGCTCAACACTGCGGTCAATATCAGCGATTATTTCCCTAGGATCACCGTACCTCTGGAAAATATGACGTTGATTTTTACTAACTAAAAATAAAATTTGCGCAAGTAGAGGAAACTACGCTGTCAGCGTTGGCAGCAAAATAAAGCTCTACCTTTCAGAAGTAAAAAAGAGTCGCTTTAAAGAACTAAGACGTGTCTTAGAGCCTAACAACCCGGCTTCGTCACCAACAGGTGACTGGGTTATTGCTACTCACTCTGGATGGGACGCTTATCAATCTCCAAGCAATTCACCAGGTTTCTATATCAGTTTGTTGGTAACCATTTTTCAGGAGTCCAGGAAGAAGAGTGGCAGGGTGATAATCAGTGTTTTTTCCCACGAAAAAAAAAAAAAAAACCAAGACCCACCCGAGACTCGATCTAGGTACTATCACGATCAAGCTAATCCCTAACGCACCTTGAAACTAAAAATTCCGCAACGCTATATACCCTAACCCTAAAACCCTAACGCTATATACCCTAACCCTAAAAACCCTAACGCTATATACCCTAACCCCAAACCCTAACGCTATATACCCTAACCCTAACCCTAACGCTATATACCCTAACATCAGTACGCATGTTCTGCACACTTTCCTTCATACATTTCCTTAGGTGCTGGCCGCAAGGAGAATATCTTTAGTTGGTGATCATTTCGTCTACTCTCGTGACCTTAATATATGATTCGGGGGGGTGATAATGTAAGAAGAAATATGAAGGTGCTGTTAACCTTCAGGGCTTACGTGTTAAGGGAGGGAAAACCGAATCGTGAATGCATCCGAACACCTCAAGCTTATTTCCACTTACAGAAAAAAAGTCAGGGGATGAAGTCATTTCCATCAACTTTTGTTTCGCTAGCCTCTCAGCTTGTCTGCACTTCATTAAATCTTCTCTCAGCATAAGATTTTCCCTCGCTCTAAGAGAAAGCAAAACGACAACATGACTTACGAGGACACGATAACACGGCTCTGGACATACATACATACATACATACATACATACTTACATACATACATACATACATACATTACATACATTACAAACATTACAAACATTACATACATACATACATACATACATACATACATAAGCTTTATTTATCCTCGGATTTCAGTGTAGCTTACAAGCTAGTATCTCCGATCCTAATTACTAATTTTAAAAGGTAGAGCAAGAACAAGGTTAAAAAGATAAAAAATAATTCATAATTAATAATATAATAATATAATAATCATCAATATAATAATATAATGTAATATTAATGTAATATTAACAGAAACCATGCACTAACAGTTTGCGCTTAAATTCACTATAGTCTACAGTCTTTCTAAAGTGGTCAGGGAGGGAGTTCCAGTAGTTAACAGATGAATAGCTAAAAGAATTTAGACCATCTGCGGTTGTAAACGGCTTAGGAAGTGATAAAATATTGGCGCCCCTTAGGGAGTAAGCAGTAGATCTTAGCTTGATCAGTTGTTTCAAATAGCACGGATATTTACCAAGATGGAGACAGATGGACTCCTTTGGTGCTCTTAAAAGTGCTTAAATCTCATCCAGTGACCCTTAACACCGAATTGAAAATTGCTCTATCAGGAAAAAATTAGTTTATCACACCACTGGAGTCTGACCTGGCTTCAGCTTCTTTCATGACTCGTCTTAATCTTTCTTCAGCGACTTCACGTGCTCTTCTTTCACTCGCAATTCGCTCATCTCCTGACTGTAAGGTAAAAATATCTCAGGGTTAAGGTTGTGGTTCCTATTTGTTGGAAACATCCAAAGACAATCGGGATTTCACTACCTTCAAATTGTCTGGGATGATCGGAAACTGAAAAATCGGGAAACTCCACAGTGTTTGTTTTTTCCCCATATAAGTGAAAAGGATGAGCCTTCCGCGTACACTGTACCTTACTAACGCACAATCTGAGTCTTTTTATTTCTTCTTCAGCATCAGAAGCTTTTTTGCCGAGTAGCGCCGCTTCTTCTTCAGCGACTCTAGCTTTCTCTGCTAATAATTCCCCCATTTCCTCAGCCTTGATCTGAAAAAAAAATTAAAAATCTGGTAAATTAGCCGTTCTTATTGCTTTATCTAAACAGGATGCTTCTGACATTTGCTGTTACCAACAGTATTTACATGCAAAACGCTTGCCCTTTATGGGCTCAGCATACACCCTAGCACACAAAGAAGTTCCCTAAGCTGCAAATCCAAAAAAAGTCGGTTAACTTGAACAACTGACGACCACCAATTCTTAAACAGAGTAATTTCCAATGGATTGTTAAAAATAATCCACGATTTCATTGGCTTTGCTTCACTTCGCTCTGTGATTGGTCTAGAAAACGTGCGCCAACCTTTCAACCAATCAGAAGCAACACTAATGCCAAACGCGACTATTGTACGGGTGGGTAAGTTTTCCCGAGGAGTCATTTTGGTGACTCCCGTTCATCATTTCACAGAGGGGTCTATATCGGTCGCAGGATTTAAAATCCTTCGACACTTTGGTTTGGAGGTGGGTTGATCTTAGCTGTGAGATTTTCTTTGTAATTAAATATTTACCAGAGCCTCTTTAGATCTATTTGCTTCATCTTGAAATTCATTTAATCTCCTCTCCAAATCTTCCTTCTGTTGCGCCATTTCTTCACGTGCTTGCTGTTCTTTCATAAGCTTGTCTCTCTCTATCTATCAATACCAGACAAGAATTCCACAAAAGAAAGGAAGCTCAATATTTTCTTTTCTACAATCATTTAACTAACAGGTTGACTCGCTGAAAAAAGAAAAAAAAACAGGCAAGCTGTGCCTGGCAGTTTGGGGATAAATATGTTCCTGTGCTTAGTTTTGCACCCTGATAGGGAGGACTCAGAGGGGTGGGGAAGGGTGGATTAGGGGAGAAGGGGAGAAGGGAAAGTGTCCCTCCGTGACAGAATTAAGGTTGACGACAATTTTATAAAATACATGTCCCACCAAGACTTTGTAGTTTTCAAACCAACCTGTCTTCTCATTTTCTCTTCTTTGGCCAGTGACCTCATCTGTTGTATCTCCATCGTATCAGGCTTTCTCCTTCGCGTGAAAAGTTCATGGTTACCCACACACAAGTCAAGAATCTGCATTCAGGGGAATCACAATAATTTTTTTTACAATTTTGTTAAGGTAATACAGTTTGAAGGTAATTCACGCTAGAACATACCACTCTGTTAACTCTTAGTTTTGCCGCATGGAATATAAAATCTGGCGAAGATTTATCAGCTGGTTTGATCTGAAACTGAACAAAAAAGAACCCATGCATTTTTAAGCTCTATTAAAATCTCTTTGTTCAGAATAGCAAGGTTTCTTCGGGTAATTTCAGAGAAATTCGTTAAGTGATATTTCTGGTCCTAACCAATGGCTACTCTTAAATTTCTATGCCTGTGGTGGAGGGTAGAGAAAGATAAACAGTGGAGATATTGGCAATTAATTCGTAAGGTTCTCTGTGGATATCCAGGGATCCAATATGCAAAATTTCATTAAATCCAGGATTTTGTATTAAGTGGATGCTGTGGTTATTGCTCATATTCACTTCCGCACAGGTTGTCGAAACGTCAGTCACTGCCACCGACAACAGTCCTTCTCAGGACTACACTCACCCGGACGATCAGACTACACCTTCACATATTCATTATGATAACCACAGGTAAGAGGGACCTACCCTTTTATCGTGAAAGGAGATATTCTTTGTCTCATTCCATGGAAAAGAAATTTTAGGATTGAGCTTATTTTCTTTTTCATAAATGTTGAGGCCGTGTGCATCAATACCAAGCCACAGTTCAGTTCCTTTTCTGTTCTGCGATGAAAGAGAAAAAAAGCTGTGTCAAATTTCAATTCAAACTCTAAATCTGTGAAAAAAGTATCATCTGGACACAAGTTGACTCGCTTATCCTACAGGAAGGTCCTGCAGGGGGGTCCTCCATGGGTATGATTCTGCTTCACAGTAGGTTTTCTCTCAACATTTAATCAAATTTTCCTGGCAATTGATTGGAGCCCAGTGATACTCCTAGGTGTAGAGACAGACTGTGAGAGTAAGGAGTTCTACCCAAGAACACAATGCACTAACACAGGCAGATTGTGAAACAAATTCAGTTTCCAGCACAATAATCCATCATTTAAACCGGACCATCCTCCTGGATCATAACTAAGCTATCAATTGAGAATTGCAACAGAAGTCAAAAGAAGCTGGAATATGCACAAGAGACATACAATACAATGAAGCCAAAAGAGATTCATCTCCACTGTCTTATCATTTGCTTATTTCACTCACTACTCAAAGAATCACACAAATATTGCATCAATTTAAAGTTCATAATCCTCGATCCTTTAATATCATTACCTAAAAAATTGATTTCTAACTACATCTGCAGACCTCTGTACCTTGATTTCAAAATAGCTTACACCATACATCTCAAGATCTTGTGCAATCTTTAGGTATTCCATCTCAGCTTCATCTCTAATCAAATAAATTAAAAATGAGAAAGGTTATGTCATCCACCTAACATTACAATATACTTCCATTATTCCCAATTACTATTTTCATTACTCCCCCCCCCCCCACCTTCACAGGTGAATCCCAAGTTAGTCCATTTCAACAAAACAAACATATTTTTCTCTCCACAACCTCAGTAAGCATTCCTCTTTAATGAGCTCCCAATGTCAGGTTTCACTGGCAACCTTTGATGATTTTTTTGTCTTGCAAAGCAATAATTTTTCTTTTCTGCACTTGGATTGACTGGGTAAGTATGAGTGAGTGAATGAGTGAGATTCATCTAAGAAAACTTGCCAAAGCTAATCTCAGAGTCTCCTGACTCTGAGACGAGATTAGAATACCTTCTCATTCCCTTGTGTTCAGCATACCATGAGGTGATTCTCTCTTCCCACATGTCTGAGGTCATCTGATATTGGTCAATAACCTGAATTACAAGAGAAGAAAACTATGAACAAGATATCACCTAGAATATAATTATACTATTTTACTACTAACCTTCGATCATCACTGGTTCTTAGGCAGGTACTGTTCAATGCTATTTCTACACACACAGAATTCAACAATCAAAAAGTAGGTCTCATGATCCAAAATCCTTACAAAAGCCAATGTTTAACAAAAACTAAACACTTAAGAGTATATTACTTAATTTCAAAGTCAAATTATCTACAGGAGTGGTTATGTGCAAGTTGGGTGCACAATTACAGTAGTTTTAATTGCAGAGTATAATTCTTCTTAAGACTGGAAATCCAAATTATATGTCCATAGTCCTGACCATGTGGCCAA